AACCCGAGTCCCAAATTACACTTAAATATATCTAGAGACATCAAATTCCTATTTTCAGCGTCGTCTGCTAGCACTGGCAGCGCCCATATTCATGAGCTAAGTTTTTATTGATTTAATGACTTTCTTTTGTTAAGGTTTCATGTAAAGGTCAGTTAGGACTGACTTTATTTTGTTAAGGTTTAGGCCTAAGTCATTCTCCATTTGTTTAAATCCATTGCACTAAGTAACAACAAACAAATTATGCAAATTTAAAAATCATGCGTCCGGTAATTATAATTACCAGACGCATGATTTTGCCATGCATCCGGTAAATCTGTAGAATAACATAATTTTGTATTTTTGACAATATTGGGGGCCCCATCTTATAAAACAGATGATGCACAGGTTTAATTTGTGGGGCTGTGGGATTATGTGCACGCGGTACCTTTGAATTTGGTCTAAAACCATTCAAAGGTACCTTGTGCACACAATCCCTACCGACGCACTCAAACCTGTGCATCATTTGTATAATAACCAATGACTACTTGTGTATTAATTACAATTTTCTCAAAACTTGCTATCAAACTCTATAGAAATCTTGAAATTGATATGTGTATTACAAGAAAGCTTTGGTGTTGAGCCCTCCTTGTCACACATAGAATTGAGGATGCAACAAAACCTCTCCAACCTAATAAAAAAGGTAATCTTTTTTTTTCCCTCTGCTATGATTTACATCATCTTCTAATCTGACGACAAAACCTATAATTAATCGCAAAATATAAAGGGTGACATTTACACCTACAATGTACATGTTATTTCCATATAGTTATAAACATTATTTTGGGTGTGATTTTGTACATGTGTAGAACTCTATGTATTTTTATATTTTTTTTTAAATAAAGAAATGATTTACAATCCAAAATATATGCATTTCATATTACTAATGTATTACTTTACCTTTTTTTTTTTACACCTGGAAGATTCTGGTTGAAAGCTGTCTGGTTTGATGACAAGTGTGATGAGAACTTCCAACTGTAATACAAAACATAAATATATAATAACATTTAAATCATTAACATTCATATTATTTTGCATGAGTTTGAATATTTTATGAAATGAACAATTTTTGTTTCGGACATAGGTTTTTAAGGGATATACAACTGGTATGAATTGAATGACCCCAACACAAAATTGTGTAAATTTATTGTTGACTACTTGTGTATTAATTGCAATTTTCTCAAAACTTGCTATCAAACTCTATAGAAAACATATTAGAAGGCTATACACAATCTTGAAGTTGATATGTGTTTTACAAAATAGCTTTGGTGTTTAGCTCCCCTTATCACACATACAATTGAAGACGCAACAAAACCTATCCAACCTTCAAAATGATATTTTCTTTTCTATATTTAAAGTACACACACATGAAGTATATCTATGGGATTGTGCTTTCATGAAGGAGGTACAAAATCATGTCAAAGTTTTATCTGATCATTGTAATTTAATGAGTGTTAATATAGGGCCTAAATTTGTTATCCTACCGGAAACTTCATCAGAGGCTAACTGACGAGGGAACATTAAAAACATAATGTACTAAACATAATACAAACATATGCATACAACTAAGGAAGGGGGCGAAAACATAGAACAATAAAGAGGCTGTGACAGCCAATCAAACTTGGCTGGGAATGGAGAGGAAACCACAAAGAAAAAAAAAAAATATATATATATAAGTTATATATCATGGGACAAGAGAGAGGGTAAAGAAAAATGTAAATAAGAATAGGGGAGGCCTGATGAAAGCAGTGATGAAGACCTTGAATAGGAAGGCATTTGGATGGGGAAAGAGAGGAAGGCATAAGAACAAAGGAATCAGAGAGCTATAGTAAGGAAGGCCAAATTGAGAAGGGGGGGGGGGGGGTAAACAAAGGGATGCTTACGTGAATAATGGAGACAGTCGAGAGTGTGGAGAATGTGGTGATTACGGTACCATGCAGGATAAAACAGAAGCGAGGTTGGATGCGATGAAAGGCGGTCACAATAGGCAAGGATGGATGCGATAAAAGGCGGTCACAAGAGGTGATCTATCATTGGTAGTCTGGATGGAGACTCCCGTTTCAGGACCTCAGACCTGAGAGAGCAAACTTCCTTAATGGTTTGTGTAGCTGTCCAAATTGTAAATTAGAAAAGAAACAAATTATGCAAGTGTAAAAAACTAAACTAGATGGATCTCTGACTGTGTATGCCTCCGCCATTGCACAATATATATAAAAAAAGCACCAATTAACATGCACTAAACAAATTTGTCAACTCCCTTTTGATAGTAATCTGCCAACTACATCTGATATCACAATTTTGAGCTATTCATGCATACATCCCGCCCCCCCCCCCCCCACTCCGTGAATGGAGGGATACCTTGAGTGTTTGTAAAATCTCCGGCTCCTATTAAAAGAAAAAGATCTACCGTACTGACTTTACATAAGGGACTTTTGCTAAAAAAGGGGGGGGGGGGTGCTAAAAAAAGGCTTATATACATTGTACCAAAAGAAAAAGATCTACCCATATTGACTTTACACACTGGACTTTTGCTCAAAAGTTAGGATTGCTGGGAACATGCATATGCATAACCTAAATAACACTGAGTGGAGGGACCAGGGCATACAAACAACTGAGATCTTTACCTTTTCCCTAAATACCCCCAAATCAGGAACGGTGGGAGTCCGTCAAATGGTTCATGAAATAACGTGATCACAAGCTATTTTTGCAACAATATTGAGCCATGTTACCTTTGTCGTCATCCCGAACATACTGAGAACATATCGCCCCTGGGGGGTGTTTCATAATGCTGTTCATAAAGTTACGCATGACTTTACGAACAACTTGTATATGAAAAGACAAATGGGATGCTCAATCATTATTAAATACATCAACTAAATTTTAACTGTGCAGATGTAACTTAACATATTTATGATAACAAACATTTTTAGTGCAAAGTATTTTTTTGCCATAATTTAATTGAGGTTATTGAAAATATCAGGAAAAACTTTGGGCATCCTATCTGGCACTTCATATACAAGTCATGCGTAACTTTACGAAAAGCTTTATGAAACACCTTCCTGGCAACTTTAGAGGCATAAAAAAAACCTTCCCCCTCCCAACTTACTTGAAGAATGAGCGACGGTGGAGCCAATTCCTTGCTGTATGTATACTGCATGAAACTAAGGCATCAGCCAGATAGCTGGCCTTACAAACTTGACCACACGTTGTCAGAGCAGGGGAAGATCTGAAAACAAACAGGAGAAACAAGAATATGTATTAAATCCAAATCTCCTCTAATGACAGCTTTCCCACACACAAACAAATTACATCAATTACATCTATGTTCAAGTGCTAAGCTTAAAAATAAACTTTTTTAAAACATACAGTTGCTCTACAAAAAAAATAGAGCAAGAACCAGAGAATGATGAGGATGAACTTAATCACTGCCTTCTTGAATGGTGAGCCCACAGGAGTGAATGGGGGAACAACGCCAACAACGTCTCATCCAATATTTCACCCTGCTGCAACTAGTAAATCAATACAGTAAACCTAGAGATCCTAGGACCTATAGAATTATGTCAAAGATGATAGATCGGTCGGGGGAATTAAAATGATGGCCAACTGGAATGTCGAGCATGCATGTGCTGACGGTAGATCTGTGTCCATAAAAGCGTCTCATGAGAGCGGTCTTGGTTTTGCCTCCAAAAAAAATGCTGCACACTCTGCATGTGATCAGGGGCCCTTTTTTTTTCTTTCAAAATGCCGCGCAAAATGGAGGCATGGTACATTTTCTGTGACAGTCGGGCTATTTTTCAAGATGGCTGCCAGATTTTTTTAATTTATAAAATCAGATAACGATCCATTTTAGCTGTGTTTTTCATGTTTTTTTTCTTTAAAAAATTAAATTAAAAAAAAAAAAGAAAAAAAAAAAGGGAGAGGCGGCCTCCAAAAAGGAAGCGGGCAGGAAACTAAACATGTGTATCTTTTATAATGGCCTAAATGACCTCTACTGATTCACAACATTTCAAACACCACTTTACAAAACTTGACTGAGTTCATTCAAAAGTTCTTTAGTGACAATTGATGACACCTACTAAATAGCAGGTAAAGATAATCTTTTCAAATTACCCATGATAAAAAATATCCTTAAAAATACAAAACATGAGTCTGCCAAACAAGCCAGTCATCATTCTGTTATATTTTGGTCGCCACGCATGCGCGCAAGCACACTAAATCCTCATGTAAAATCATAAGCTCAGTCCACAACAGATTTACTGATTCCCTCTCACTCTCTTTACAGTATCAGGATTTCAATGACGTCTAAAAGGAAAGATGTAAACACCACACTTAATCAAACTACCTTATGAATAACTACTGTACTAGATGGCAAAACACAAACAATGCTACACTTCAATAATAATTATCTATAATAACATTTTAAAGGTAATACAAAGTTTTGGGAAATTTTGAAAATTGGGTGGATAGTGAATCTTTACAATTTTGAGATACAGTGTATTTGGATGCCCCTGTGGATGTATGTATAAGCAGTAAAAAAAAATTAGCCCCTAAAACACTTCTGTTTTCGAGAAAATTGAATATAAAAATTTACCGGTGCTCCCGGTAAATTATGATTAATTTCAAATAGCGTCTATGGCCGTACAATGGTAGTTGCGACCATGAAAATCTCAGAATATGTAGTTGTGATATAATTTCCAAACGGGAATATTCATGAAACATTAATTGTTTCATAGCTAAATTAATATCTTGACCTTGAGAGGGAGCTATACAATTTAAAGAGTTTATTATTTATAATTTCATAACTTCAGACTCGATTTCAACCGCGACAACGACCAATGAATATTGAAGGAACGCACATGCTTCAAATATTTTAATTTGAACAGAATTCATGACCCCATACTAAAACTTTGTAATACCTTTAAGTTATAAACTGATACAAACACTTTCCAAGCTTCATGTGATGTTAACTTGTGAGGGCATATTTCCATGCATGGAAAATAAAATAATGAAAATGAGAAATAAGACTAAGACTAAAAATGAAAACAATTACAAGTTAATTGTTCTAAAGATATTTCCTGTCCAAGGAGGACATACATGTACAGTACCAATCAATAACAACAATTATGTACCAGTATGTAAGAATATTTATTCTTAATGTTTGTTTTAAGTTGCAATGGTGGACACCAACCTTTTTTAGTTAAACTGCCCAAGTGCCCATAGAAGCAGACATAGCACTGATAGCACCATTAATATACTAGTTATACTTTTTGTGTATCAAAAACTGTTCAGACAACCTCTATTGATTTTCAACATTTCAAACACCACAGTATAAACTCAACTAAGTTCACTAAAAATCAGTACTTTAGTTACAATTGATGACACCTACTAAACAGCAGTATAGTACAATCTTTTCAACAGAATAGCCTACACAGATGTTAGAAAATATTCTTTAAAAATCCTAATCAACATGAGTCTACCAGCAAACTTGCGAATCAGCCACTTCATATTATTCATTGAATACTTTTTGTCACCACACATGCGCGCTAGCACGCAAAATCTCCATGTAAAATTGTATACACAAATTTGGTCGTAATGTTTAAGTTTTTCTACAGGATGTGCTGTGAATCAGCTGAAATTACAGATATTAATTATTTCAGTCACAATGAGTCATTTACGGTAAAAAAAATATTCATATATAAAGCGCTAGAGGTCAATACACATTAGCATTGACTGCTACTATGCTTTGCTAGCTGCTGGAACCGAGAGTGCATAGAGTACCGAAGCTGTGAGCCTGTGACATCATAAAAATCTATTTTTGAATTTTCTCAATTTTTTTCTTCATTTTCCGAAAGAACATCAAATATAATGCCCAAATGTTGAAAACCATCTATATGTTAAGTATTGGCTGAGGTATGACCATCTGAATAAATATATGTCCTATACGAGCTCAGTGTTATATTGCCCTGGCTCGTAATGTTATGAAGAGAGCAATATAAGTTTACTGACTGAGTTCCCATAGGGTATTTATTTATTCAAGTGGTCATACCTCAGCCAATACTTAAAGGTAAAGACCAGTTTTGGAAACGCCCTCCTCTCAAAAAATAAAATGAAAGATCTTATTACCAATCATGTGAAAGAATATGTTTTGACCAATTTGAATGATACAAATTTTGCAGAAAAACCACCTACTAATTGATATATTTGGTACATGATTATTGGACCTGAAAGATATTGTGCACGTGTTGCCTACGTGTCACGTAGTCCCATATATATCTTTTTGTGTACAGTGCTTAAAACTTTACCAAGACTGGGCAAAATTTCTTATCATTTTGATGATTCCAGAACCTTGCAGTACACACAGGTACATGTACAGGTGTATGTTACAAAAAAAAAAATCTCAGAATTCAAGCTCTTGCTTCAAATTTCATACCATCAAACAGAGATTGATAAGATCTTTTATTTGATGCCTCATTCATCCTAATAGCCTGAGTAATAAAAAAGTTATGCCAATTTTAAACGCCCGGAAATCATGTATTTAATTGCTTTGTTTTTAAAAGAAAAGCTGTGATTTGATTACAAAAATCGCCAAAAAATGTATGTGTATGTAAATACGCGAAAAACCACTAATGGAGCCGTCATTTTTGCATGACATTTCAGATTCCTCTTCCAAAAAAACATATTTCTCATCCATAGATTTCGCTTAAATTTCACCAAAAGCAAAGTCACATGAATAAACAATCAATTTATATACTTTTTATCTCAATTTCGTAGTGGGATCAGGGTACAGAATGGCATTAAACTAGTGCTGTAAGTCAGACGCTATATGTTCGTGTTCGGTTCGGTTCGGTTCAGTGATATAATAGCAAGCAGCGTTATAGCCACGGCGGTCACCACTGGGCGGGCCGGCCGGCCAGGCTCGTCCAGCACGGGGGACTTCTGCCCACTCCTGCTGAAAAACAGTGCCTCCGACCAGCACGAATTTCACATTAAAAAACTGCTCTAAACGTAATTATTTGTGAAGAAAAGTACTACTTACATGCGTATTTCCGTCTTGAATCATGTTTTATTTTCAATTTTAAAAGGATCATGTTTTAAATTTGTCAATAAATGATATTTTTCAAGATTTTCGGAGACGGTTGTTGTCAAATGTTAGAGTCATGAAAGATGCCATCTTGAATAGCGATTCAGACTTGTCAATAATTTTTTTTTTTATAAGTTTTTATTTTCAATAGGAAAAATATAAAATCCCTATTTTTCCTGAATAAATAAATGCCATACTATAATATATATTTATTTCATTATTTATCTTGTAAAATTTGTCTGATATTGTTACAATTAAAATATTGATTTTTTTTTTGTTAAATTGGTTTGAGCTGAACTTGTTTTGATCACGCACATTTATTCTTGTTTATAGCTTGCGATCGCGACGTAGCGTGGTCAGGATTTGGGATTTAAATGGCGCCAGTGAAGTTGCGCCCACCACTGGATAGGCATAAAAAACAAAGGCGGAAAATGGGAAAAAAATTTAATATAAAATGAGCAATCATGACATGAAAATTAGGTAAAAAATAACAAGTTTATTAGCTTGCAAAAACGTTAACATTTTCCTGCCGAACATCCGAACCAGGCCTTTGCGTCCGGTTCGGTTCGGTTCGGAAGTGACATGTTCGGTGAACTTCCGTTCGGTTCGGCGGTTCGGCGGTTCGGCTACAGCACTACATTAAACACGGCTCTTGTGAAACAGTGCAGCAAAACAAAATGACAAAAACATAAATCATAGAAAGTTTAGATCTAGTATGAAATGAAAGATAACAATGTCATTCTTCATATCCAATAGAAATCATGAAACAAAAATCTAATCAGCCCATCAAAAGATCGCATTTGCGTAGGCTTTCCAAATGGTCTCCAATAATGCATAACAGCCCCATGGCAGAAACCTTCATGGCAAAAGCACACACATTGACATTGTAACGTACATGTACTAGGCGTTGTGGCGTGCGCCTGTAATCCAGCTAAAAAGTGGAAGTTACAAACTGATTCAGCCGAGGACGCAGGTTCGAAACTGAGTCACGTCTTTCGGATGGTGACGTTTAAAGGTCGGTCCCAGACGTAAATAATCATATCTGATTGATACACGTCTGTAAAAACCCAATACACACACACACCTACACATATGCTAGATGATCAACCTTTTCTGATCAATTCCACAATGTTTCTTTCACAATGCAATCGCATGACCATAACTGGTTTTTATCTTTAAAAGGATTTAATAGGTCTACCATAGCCTACATCCAAATGATCCAACAGACCAGCCGAAAACTGCAAAAGGGCCCCAAACCCCCCTCCTCCTTGCCTTTATTATTTAAGTTTAATTACAAATTTGAATAGATTTTAGTGCTAACTAGTCTAGTTAGATCTAGAGGAGTAACTTAGAGATAGAGTCGGCAGTCTAGACCAGCAGAGTTAGCAACTAAAATCTAGATCTAGATCTAGATCTATTCAAATTTGTAATTTTAACACATTTAACAGCAAATAAACAAGTAATGACATTCTCTAAGAATGAATCATATTTAGATCTAGGCATATTTTTAGAAGGTTTTTCATTTTTAGAATTCATTTCACACTTTCCTTACTCAGTAAAAGTACACAATCGTACGTACGGTAGGCCCCGGTTAGGCCTAGGCCTACTGCGTAGTCACAAAACGTACACCCTCAAAAAACATACCGTATCTAACACCTTCGGAATCGGACAGTGGTGCATTTTCATACGATAATTGTTACAAAATTAAAACATACCAAATATCACTATCAGTATCAGTTTCCACTAGACTGTCGGCAACATAACGGGCATAAATTGAGAACACATGAACACTCCAAAAAAGGACGAAGAAAGGCTACAACTCGAAAATCTTGTCAGCATTCGATCAAAAACTTTAAACCACGGCTTTACTGTATTGAATCGAAGGCTATAGGCCTGCGCTGCACTAGTATACTGCATGCGTCGTAGATCTATGCACTATACGGACGTACAAATCTGAAGAAATCGTCTAATTGTGTACGTTTTTTGTATTGGTACGGTGGTCATTTATGCGTTCGTTCGCGCGCGCAAGCTGTGCGCGTTCGCATGTATAAAGTGCAATATATAACCTCTAAATAACGTAGATCGGCAACGTGACTTACTTGGTCTATTGGTCAAAGCACCCGACTTCCTTGTCAATGACTCTACATCAAATCCGTGGACAATTATTTTTTGGGGGCTTTCGTTTCTTATTTTTTTTTGATCATTTTCTTCCGACTATACTATATAACACGATATATGTAAATATATATATATATATATATATATATATAATCACAAAAAAATGTAATAAAATGCTTAATTTTGCGTGTTATATTTCTGGGAGAGCAATGTCAATAGTGTGCGTACAACCCTACGGGAAATCTGAATCCTTGTATGATGCTAGTGTCCTTCCCAGACGTTTATATTTTTTCCAGTTAATAAGCCCAGGTATATGCAATGTTTGCGTCCATTCAATGGACCAATATATTGTTCACATGTCTATTCTCTCTTTCTCTATATAATAAATATTAAACTCTGTTAAGTGCTCGAAATATTGAATGCATCGATCGTTCTTCATTGAATCTCTCTCCTGCTCCGTTTTCCTTCCCCGCTATTGGTCTGCCCATCTCCTTCTCTTAATTGCTCTGCCTCTGCATCTCTTTCTCTCCTCTCTCTCTACTCTTTCACCCTCTCTCTCTCTCTCTCTCTCTCTCCCTCTCTTGCTCTGCCTCCCTCTGTATATGCAATAGATTTGTTTTCATACCTCACACAGCTATACAAAACATTCCATTGTGACATGGATTGTGCTATCAATAATCACATATCAACTTTAAAATGAGGTTCAATATGATATCAGCTAGGCTCACTCCATCAGGCATCAGCCATATTGTTTTCATTTATACAGATGTTTACAAATATTATTCTCACTGGCGACTGCCCCCCCCCCCCCCTCCAGCACAATTTTGTTTTCCACACATGTAAACTAACAGGTTGAGCTTTTCGTGACCACTTCAAATCTAATCAAACCAAATTGTTCACAATTCCTACAACACTTCAATCCATATTCACAAGTCAATGTAACATTTTTTCAAACAAATATATATTTTTATTAGCCACCATTACATCAATATGTTTTACACTATAATTACATCATATAAATCATCCAACATAATTACTTTTATCCAAAACACAAGAAACAAATAAACACTAATCTTGATGTTATCCAAAATATTTAACTCAAAACTGCTTCACAAATCAATTACCATAAAACAAAACAACGATGTTTAAACTTTGTAAAACTGTCACAATTATATCAAATTACAACCATATGATTTTTAAAACATTTGTCATCGTGTACATATTTCAGATTGATTTGGTCATACATAAAACTGATATTAAATTTCTAAAAATCACTTTCATTTTTTTAATGTAAGTACCAAAAAAAAAAACACTTCAGTACTAAACACAAATCGTCTACAGATATCTAGAACTACTGATGCATGATTCAAACTCATTACAACAATAAAATCAGATATTAATGTGCTTTTAGTGACTGCAGAAAAATAACAAAAAGTAAACAAACTTTCATCAAAATCAGACAATCTGTTTAAGAGTTATAAATATTAAACATGTAATTAAATCCCTAATATGGGAGATCATTAAGTTGGCAACTCCACCAGCATCTATGATGTAACACTGGACAACTCTCCATTGGTTTTGTACACATAATTATTTTTTTAAATGTAAGCATTTTTTTAATGTAAGTACCAACAAAAAAAACACTTCAGTACTAAACACAAATTGTCTACAGATATCTAAAACTACTGAGGCATGATTGAAACTCATTACAACAATAAAATCAGATATTAATGTGCTTTTAGTGACTGCAGAAAAATAACAAAAAGTAAACAAACTTTCGTCAAAATCAGACAATCTGTTTAAGAGTTATAAATATTAAACATGTAATTAAATCCCTAATATGGGAGATCATTAAGTTGGCAACTCCACCAGCATCTATGATGTAACACTGGACAACTCTCCATTGGTTTTGTACACATAATTAATTTTTTTAATGTAAGCATTTTTTTAATGTAAGTACCAAAAAAAAAAACACTTCAGTACTAAACACAAATCATCTACAGATATCTAGAACTACTGATGCATGATTGAAACTCATTACAACAATAAAATCAGATATTAATGTGCTTTTAGTGACTGCAGAAAAATAACAAAAAGTAAACAAACTTTCATCAAAATCAGACAATCTGTTTAAGAGTTATAAATATTAAACATGTAATTAAATCCCTAATATGGAAGATCATTAAGTTGGCAACTCCACCAGCATCTATGATGTAACACTGGACAACTCTCCATTGGTTTTGTACACATAATTAATTTTTTAAATGTAAGCATTTTTTTAATGTAAGTACCAACAAAAAAAAACACTTCAGTACTAAACACAAATTGTCTACAGATATCTAGAACTACTGATGCATGATTCAAACTCATTACAACAATAAAATCAGATATTAATGTGCTTTTAGCGACTGCAGAAAAATAACAAAAAGTAAACAAACTTTCATCAAAATCAGACAATCTGTTTAAGAGTTATAAATATTAAACATGTAATTAAATCCCTAATATGGGAGATCATTAAGTTGGCAACTCCACCAGCATCTATGATGTAACACTGGACAACTCTCCATTGGTTTTGTACACATACTTACACATTCTCTCCCCCCCCCCCCCCCCACACCCATTTTCATCAAAATTTAACTTACTATTTGAGTATCACATTTCTACATCAATTCTGCAAGCAATTCTTTTATTACTAAAAGAATTATGCTGATTCTTCAAGTACTATTTTATGTAATTTATCTTTTGCACGCTTGTGTACAACACCAATAAACAGTCATCCATTCTTACATTAAGATGCTACCAGAATTACCAACTTAAGAATCCCCCATAAAAATTGTTACCGTACATAAACTTTAAAAAAATCATAACTCTTTATCAGATTGGCTGATTTCACTCAAAGTTTAACTGTTTAGTTTGTGTTTATTCTTCTGCATTCATTCAGAGCACACTCATGTCACAACTTCATTTCCCTTCAATGAATACTTAATCGTGTAAAAAATTTGTGGACCAGGAACTCTCAGGTTTTTTTATCGATTCATATTCGAGATGGATATATAACAAATTTCACCTTGGTTGCCACCTTGCCACCCTTGAGCAATTTTCGTAATTAACATAATTAACAAAAAGCCAGATCGATATATAAAACATATGATTAAAACAATATATTAATCCAGGAAGACTAAAATGATGACTAAAACTACTTTTTGGACTTTATGCTTTTCAGTAATTTCATTACTGATGGTAATTTATACATATCACCTTACCAACACTCATAGATCTAAGATGGCTGCCCCTAATTTGAATATCAATGATTGAGCAATCTTGAGTTTGCTTCAAAAAGACTAAAAGTATGAGTCATATTGCTTTTCTAAGGCAATGTAACTAAAAAAAAAATCATCTATGATGCATAATTATGCATCCATCATAAATCTAACTCTCTAAAATCCAAGATGGCCACCTCTCATTTGCATATATCAAACATAAGGTAAAATGTTAAATCTGATATTCGAACATGTTGGATCGTAAACAGATAACGAATAGCACAAAAATTGAGAGGTAATTTGGGTCAAGATGCTTACTTACAATGCCAGGTTTGTCATATTACCACGACAACTGTGTCAAATCCAAACTGCATGTCCCTAATTTGCATGTTATAGCATAGGATCAAATGCCAGTTTTGACCCATGAAGGTACCACACCACTAAATATATCTCCATAGGCTTGTGTACAAACCAGTCCATCTTCGGCTCTCAATTTGGACTACTTTCAGACTTTTCAATACATACCATGAGTTACTTGGGGGAACATTTGATGCAAATTTGAGCAAAATTAAAGGGGGCCCGGTTAACAACTGCCTGAATTTCAGGTGATTTGACGTGGTTTGACCCACAACCTAACAAAAGCTCCAAAATGTTTGAAAAAATTATAGGTTTGCCACCAAATTTTGTTGCTACCCTCTGATCAAGGAGATTTAATGATTTTCCCACTTATTTTACCTTATCAAAGGCTGACATGTGGCTTGACTACACACCGGCCAAAATATCAATCCACCACACCGAAAAAGCGTCAAATTTACATCAAATTGCACCCATATACAGTCCAAAGTGTTTTGTACAGATTTTAATCAATATTCAAGGGTAACTACTTGAATTAACCACTTTAATTCATCAAATTATACAGACTATAGTGTGTAGGGGAACCACAAAATTGGAGTAGGAACACAAAATCCTCAGAGTACTATGGATTAAGTGGTGTGACCTCTTAAGGCTAAACTGAAAAGTAATGCCACTTCTTGTATCAATAAAGGCAACACTCTCAGATCAAAGATGGCCACCACATTTGCATATTTGAATCATATGGTAAAATATTAAATCTGACATTTGCGAGCTAAATGGAACAGGAAAACCACTATTTTGAGGGAATTTAGTTCAATGAATTTGTTTACAATGTCAATTTTTGCATATCACCATGGCAACCGTATCAAATGTGCAAGACAACTGCTATTAATCTGCATATATCAAAACATAGGATAAAATGTAGTTTTGTTCCATGTCTGATGAGTAATACTACTATTCCAAGATTATTTTAGTCAATGAATTCATTTCCCATTCCAGTCCATGGCAACACTCAAATCCTAGATGGCTCCCTTTTAATGCTTTCATATGATTACATGTACATGTATCTTCATTTCCATAACAACCCCATCAATTTCGAGATACTGTAACTTCACCTCGCTGTCAATGTAAATGTAAATGACACATAAATGGTACAATTATGGGTAATTGTTTTGGGGAGGTCGTTTGAGACGGGTAATCAAGACAAACATGTTTTACCACTGCAAGCATCTTAAAATAAACAACCTGCCCGTTATTTACATAATATCATGCATAAAATCAAAGCTCAATTCTGATTCAGGAAGGATAAAACAATGAGAACATCTTCTTGACCTAAAATCAAAGCTCAATTCTGATTCAGGAAGGATAAAACAATAAAAACATCTTCTTGACCTAATCTTACATTATAAACATTTTGCTAAGTTGTTATGTTCTTTATCTAATCTTGAAAATTACTCATTGATTCGATCAAATACACTCAGCCCTACCAGTTCCTCTCTTTCAACACAAAAATACCCACTAAATATAACTAAAACACATACTACCTGTTAACAAAAATTCTCCTATTTCTCATCAGTTCCTAACTTTGTACCTTTTAACACATACAGGGTGTACACACAAAATTCCCCATATACCACCTAACCCACACTTCAATCCAACATCTTCTCCAACTTTACAACAACTTCCTTCAATCCCTCACTTTCAACCTCTCCTTTGACAGAGCATGGAAGCCTTGATAGGTCGATGTCAACCAATAAACTCTTCTGGTTTACTGTTAGCACACGCTCGTCTCCATCGTCCAAGAGAATAAGCTCATAAGGGATCTTGTACCTGCATTAGCAATGGAAAAAAGACACAAACAATAATATATAATAAGTTTTAGGGGCTGTAGTTTTTCAGTAATTTAAGAAGAAAAAAACAGTTATCCTCCCTCCAAAACCGGTCGGTTTTCGGTCAACCTACATGTATATCCAATTCTGAGACATAGTTTTCATCCGATTTGTATCAATTTGCTTCAATTAAACATCAAAGTGTTCATTTTCTTCACTAGTACAAGGGTTTTGTAGTACTAACAAGCCGATTTCCACTCATTATCTTTCAAAATGTGACTCAACAATAATGATTTTTATCATGATTTGATGGTGGTCATGATCAATTTTACCCATGTGTAAAAGTCTTCAACAATGTTTCTCCTTCATCTTGAGTAAAACCTGAAAACGGTTTAAATTAAAAACAAGTTTTGACTTTAGACGGTCGGTTTTAGTTGAATTAACCTTTTGACTACAACTTTAATTCGTTTTCATACAAACCATTTCCCATTGTACCCAAACACTTACGTTACACTTACTTAATCTATCATTTTCATCCTAGATCTTCAATACAATTTCAATCCCTAACCTACAATGCACAATTTTCTAACTGAATTTCTTCCTTACACTGCCTACATGTATAAATCAATTCACAATAGCACTTGCAATTAAGATACATGTACGCAATAACATTCACAACCTACAAACCGCAGTCTATACCCACCACAATAGTAACAAAACTCAACTTTGATCGATCAATTTCTATAAAATCACAACTACATGTACATGTAGGTTGTCTTGAGTATCATTGTAAAGATTGGATATTTCCCTATCAAACCAACCTGACTTGATATAATTTGTTGAATGGGGCGTGTGCACATGGCCTAAATGTTAAAAGGGCCAAAATCCAAATGTTACAAAATTAGCAATAGTTTGGTTTTCAGTATACTTGATCGTCCTTAAACAAATTGTTAAAGGATTTCAATTCAAAATTATTTGCCAAATAAACCTCAACTTTTAAAAGACATCTCAACATTGAAAGGTCATCTCAACACAACAATGTCACTTTTCTTTAATGTGTTTATAATGATTGGATTAGTGGGGTCTCCACAGACATTCTCATTGTTAAAAAATTCCTTGCTGTGTTTTATTAATTGAGGTGAGTGATTGTTCACTTAGTGGTTACTTGTCTTCCAACTGCATCAAACCCAAAATGACAAATCTCAATAAGGCAAATACAAAATGGGTTTCCCTATAAGGATGTTTGGTGTCAGTAAAGGCACCATATCCAACCTAAAACACAATTCCAAGACACTGGCTTTGTCAAAGACCGCCCCCAATCTGGATATCCCAAAATCCACCACGAATGACAAAGACAGGTTAATTACGGTAAGCAGAATTAGCTACGGGACTTATGACGATCAGCAAGGGATGTACAGGCTCGAAGACCTCTCAAGAGAAAGTTGTTTTCCTATATTTTTCCACAATTAAATCAATTTTGCAACTTCCCTCTCCAACCCCACCCTACACCCCCCCCCCCCCCCCCCCATTTACTTGCCCTGCACATGCCCCTTTTGACAAATCATATCAAATATGATACTGTTGGATAGAAAATTGTTCAAGCTTTAAAATGATACATGTAGCAAACATCACAGATATTATTATGATATAACCAAAATATAATCAATCAAAGTCAAGTTTCCTTACTTTTAGTCCTGGGTACTTTCATGGGACAACATAAATGTAGGTAAATTGCCTAAAATGTTATAATGCATGTCACTGTATGGAGCGAAGCATTTTGTGGCATGGCAGAATGTAAAAGACGACTCCAGTCCACTAATAATCTTACACGTGTATGTTATGTTAGGTGTACTAAAATCCCAATATTTTTCTTGTCAAAACAGAATAATTTCCAATGGGTGTCAGGAGCAATATCTTCTCGATTACATCTACTATTATCATTCATATGAGGCATTTTACCAGTAAAATAAAATTGTGATTTTGCTTGCTCTTTTGTCTTTAGTGTGATTGTGGCCGTATCAAACCATATTGCCCTTCTTCCGGGAAATTTCGCCACTTTTGCCATATTTCACTGTACTAAAAAACAGTGCAATATCAGACCATATCAGCAATATCGCCCTCTTCTCTCGTCGATTACGCGGATGCAACAACAACAATAGCTCATTTTGACCCTTTGGATCAAGTGAGCTAAAAATGCCCTTTTGTCAACAACAGTATCTACACAAGGCCTGTCATAACATCTCTATATTGCATTAATCATTATCTCGCAAACATACATTGTACATGTACATGTAACACATTTGTATTGGTAATATTACTTCAAACTCCTCCTATCCAGAATCCTCAATCTAACATTACACTTACAAACTCACAAACCTATCCACAATTCTATAAACACGAAACATTCAAATTTAAAAGCTGTACATTTGTCAACCTGGTCATATTCTCAACTTATTAAAAATAATAATCTACATACTCATCATCGGAAACCGCCATCAGTACTCCTTGAAACTCTGCGTTGCAAATAACCATCTGCAAATAAAAAAAATTAAAAAACACCGATACAACATTAATAAATAACTTAACAATTAAACACAAGTAATGTACTTACTAGATGCCACTATATACATGTATAAAAACACCTAACAAAGGACTTTTATGTACATGTAAATGTATTCATTCAAAATAATCAACCTTCTTCATACATCTGATAATACCTCTATAACAGTTTAAATTATATTATCATTACCAATCTATCTTCATTCATCATATTTACACTAAACCAATCAAAACGTCTACATGTATATACCACCAAATCACCCTATCATTTTAAAATATCAAAAAATGTTTATGTAATGTATAGTAGAGTGCATTTACAGAGAAGTGGCTAAAGAATTCTAGAGGCTATTCATGTAGATATTATGATAGACCTTCTGCCAAATCCAAAAACATACAAATTTAAAAAACGGTTGCTTTACAAATATCTACATTTACCTTATTTGTAATATTCTTACTAGCACTTATTACATATTCTATATCTACAAAACACAAACCTAGATTCTAAATTTCCTCATTCATAATAATCTTTGTCACCAGCCTTTAACAGTTGACACCATCAATAAATACTTCTAACCTACCTATAACTTTTCATCCTTTCTTTTTCCACAAATGATAAAACTTTGACCAATTCAAACAAGTAATATAAAAATTCTCATACATAGAAAAATAAAACAATCAAAAGCAAACAGATATAAAAAAAAGTTTAAAAACATACTGTAAAATAGGACAAAATCTATAATTGTGTGTATTACTATTACAAATCAATCCTAACAACAACAAAAAATACTCAATCCAAACACAAATCATCATCAAACAATATCAGGAGATGCTTTAGTCTACAGATTCACTAAAAACTGTTGACTTTTTATGGCTCAATTATGATAAATAGTTAGTATAAACTTTTTTTAAAATATAAATAACGGAATACAACTCACCTTGATTAAAAGTAAACAAGGTCTTCAACAATGACTTGTAACACGAACAGTAACAACAAAAGCAACGACTGTCAGACAGGTAGGGAATCCGTAATGGCACACCCCAAATCACTGACGATATGCAATCAACTGTGACATTGGGGCATACGCCATTCACTCTCGGAAAAGGAGGAAGCATTATGAGCCAGGGGTAAAACCCAAACACGCAACACTCCTCCCAGCCCTCAAGATTTGTGGCTTACCAAAATATAGCACAAATCTATCGGATCCCCTAAACCACCAAACAATGAAATAATTTCAACTTTTTTGGGAGAAAAAAACTTGTTAATGAACTCATGCAATTAATTAAAGCTAAACAACAAAAACTCAAAAATTCAGCTCCCTTGTCCAAAATTCCCACCTAATAATATAACTAGAGCAATCCGACTGTTGTGCAGTCGACTAAGACGCCTCCACCACCTGGCTGTCACACAATTAGTTCAAACCACTAAATGTATAGTACTCCATTTAACTTTCTCAACACATTTTGCCAAGTTCATTAACTTCTTTTTTTTTGTTCCCATCTGAAAGTGTGGCTGAAAAAAGACATATCTGGCTAGTATTCAGTTACCTTTCAAATATCATAATGGTTCCTTTTTGCCATTTCTCATTGACAACAAAGGTATAATTTGCCCTTCAATGACTAATAGCTCGTGTTTTACAATAGAATACAAAAATTAACAGGAAATTCCAACAACATATAAAACCTAAATTTCTTGGGAGGGCCATGTTTGATAAAACAAAAAAATATCACAGAGTTAAAACCAATAACAAAATATTTAGGCACTCCTCCCAAGACATAGTTTCTCCTTAGGTTTTCTACAGCTTCCATTTTTAGTAAAATTGATTAATTCATCACTTCTCACTACTCAGTTTGCCGCTGATTCAAAAGTAGCATTAGGTCTATATAAAACACTTTCCAACTTAGTTATTAGTCATTTCGAATATATGTCTTTTGTTGTAGATGCTGCCACACACCAAATTATGCAACACCTTACTCAAAACTCCTTGTTCCCATCTACTCAAAGAGCATGTACTGTATAGCCAGTTTGACAGTACTCAAACAACATTACTTCTACTAACCCACCCCAATCTCTTGATGACCATGGACCACCAAAAATTGACTGTTTGTTTTGCTTGATTTCAAAATTCTGTTAATAAGTTTTCAAGCACCCTGAAAAAAAATAACAAAATCAAAATCCCCTCAAAAATATAAGAGAAGTAGCATTTTTTTCATTGATTTTGAATAAATTAGCATAATTAACCAATTTCAATATAACCCCCCCCCCCTACCCCCACCGAACCCTATCAGATAAAACAAACAAAATCAGCCACAAATGATATAGAAAAAGCAAATTACAACACCCACACAGACAAACGGAGACACAAACACATACCACACATGCGTAAAAACTCAAAACCCATTTCATAGTCCCCTCACAAACTTTGTTCCAACAGGACAATAACAAGATTATAATTCAATAAATCTCAAATAGAAACATAAACAGTCAAAATAAAGTAAGTGCATGGTAATAGACATGGCAAGACCATAGCCATACATCCCATAAATATTTAAAGGGACTTGGTAACATTGTTAAGATGAGAGATAGTGGTGTTAAGGTAGTGACTTCAATGCTAGATGTACAATTAAAGATACTCTAAAAATTTGAGTGAAAACGGACCATTATTCATTGTACAAATAGGTCAAAACTGATCTGATCGATTCCTCAATTTTCTCAACTATATTATTACAATTTAATTACATTTTAGGTAATTGGAAATCTTCACAAAGCAATAAAATGGCTCTACATTCCATTCCGGACATGTAAGTGTTGACAGATTTTTTATAGCCTGTTTTATGTATTTTTTTTCACAGAAAAACAGTTGGGGAAAATTCAAAAAATGGTTGGGAGAATTTACTGTTAATCACTGTTAGAGGGGTGTCATATATCGACCTTTTAAAAAAAACCCAGATATTTATATAGTCTAGATATAGATTTTTTGCATGTCAGAGGGTTAGTACAGTAGAAGGAAAATAGTAAGTAACATTATATACAAAAATTAAGCAATTTTTTTTTATCAACCTTCAACAATGTTACCAAGTCACTTTAATGAGATAATAACAAACAAATATAAAATGCTGCTGGGTAACAACAATAACTTAAACATGATGGCAGTAACTATTAACAAGACTGTGTGAAGTAAAAGAGTAAATATAATATGCAGTCAAAAAGTAAACTTATGTCAAACAAGGGAAACGCTCTCAGCGGTCTCGCCTGCATAACGCAATTCAATATGATAAACCAGAACGTCAATGACGTAGCGCTCATCCACATCTCGCAACAAATATCGTAAATTTTATGTGGTAGTGGTACACTTTTGAACTGGTCAAAAAATAAAACTTTGATGCCCTGGAAGGGACATAATTTCATTTCATTTGCATAAAGTACCATAAATAATCAATGGAGCAAAATCTCACAATTCTGTGTAGAAGTTTAGTGTTCCAAATTTAGCTCTACCAGATAAGGCATACCAAATCGAAATCGGTCAAGAAATGAGGGAAAAGAAGCAATTTTTGTTATTTTTGGAATAATCTTGCATAAATTACCATTATTAATTAATGGAAAACAATTTCAAAATTCTGTGTAGAAGGTTAGTCTACCAAAGTTAGCTCTACAATATAAAGCAAGCTAAATCAAAATCGGTCGAGAAATGAAGGAGAAAAGGCCTTTTTGTGATTTCGAATAAATTAGCATAAATTAGCATAGATAGTGAATTTTCACGATTCTGTGTAGTTTTTTAAAATCCCTCTCCTAGCCCTATCATATGAAATAATCAGAATCAAAATGGGTTGAAAAATAACAAAGAACAAGCATTTTCAAAATCTTGATGTTGATGCCACAACATAGTCCAAGTCTGTTGACCTGAAATGACCTTTGACCTTGACTTTGTGATCTCAAATTCTACTCACATGATTGGGGATACTTGATTACCCTATAGTCAAAGTTTCATGGACTAAGAACTTATACTTTAAAAATTATATCAAAAATTCAAAAACTTAACCTTAGGTTAAGTTTTTGATGTTGACGCCGTCGCCGCCGCCATCGCCGTCACCGGAAAAGCGGCGCCTACATGTATGTCTCGCTTTTTGCTACGCAGGCTAGACAAAAAATGAATGTAAGTGATATAAAAAATAACAAATGAATATTCAAACTTAAAGTGATACTTGAGTACTGGTAAAGGTTCGTTTTTGTGACTGAAACTGGGATCTGATAATAAACGACTAGTCATGCTTCAATGATGTCAAAACAAATCATAATTAATCAGTTTAGAGTCAATTTCATGCAAAAATCATGATCGTCTTTCGACTGTGACTTGTGCGTGACAGAGGGCACACACAGATATGCATACATGGGAAAATGTTAACCCTTGAATATTTGCAGAGTGGATCGCCGCCAAGCCAGAGGACGAAAAAAGATGATAAATGAAGTATACGACCACTTGGGAGGGAATCAGTACTTTCACATAGATTCAAAACCAACCAAAACACTCACGTTTAAAAAAATCATCAACTACCAACACTCAAGTATCACTTTAAAGACAGTATAGTAAAGTTATAAATCAAAACAAAAATTAACTAAAAAACAATTAAAACACAAATTTAACACAAATTAAACTCTTACAATACATTTAAACATACCTGTAGCTTCATTGTGGCAGTCGATTCCAAACGCTTACGACTGTTAAATTCAGATACGACAACGGGTGTCACCTCAATCCGTTGGTCAACTGTTACTGCTACACCGGTATGCTCCTCCCACAGACTAACGCCGATCGAATCCTCTCCGTCTTTGAGTAGAATATTTCTCACTCGCTTTTCCCCCCTAACTGTCCGAACTTCTCCCACCTTTATCAAAATAAATATACAAAATCATTAATCTAAACATGATTAAACATCAACGGAGGCGCAAATCTATTACAAAATCTGGGAGGGGGGGGGGGGGGACACCACATGATTTTACTTTTTTAAGACAGGGCTATTTTGTGAAGCTAAAAAAATGGTGGCCTATCATTATTATTATTATTATATTACAATTATGTACGTGTGTCCTATTCCTAAATTTGTGGGGAGGGGGACATTAGATATTGTGTCCCCCATCTTCAAAATTGTAAGGGGGGGGGGGGACATGTCCCCCGTCCCCCCCCCCTGGATTTACGCACATGAACATCAAAAAAATACATTTTAACCAATAAAATTAGGCAAAAGAAACCTGCCAAGCTGCCACAAACAAATATTTTTTGTTTCCAGCACTACATACCCACAAACTCAATACACTTTACAACAAAATTCCCTTCATACATATTACATCACATAATGATCATATTCTTGAACGATTCACAACATATACCCACCCTTACTTAAAAATAATCTGACTACATCTCGAAAATAAATCTGATTCAAATACTACAGTAGGCCTACCCCATATTAACAACTGCCAACATCATGTCTTGTCTTTCCAGTGATGCCCACAATCAATATGTTGATTATTATGGCTTATAAAGATGTATAGGCCATGTAAAATTGATTTCATGTTGATCGTCCCCGCCCGCTTCCTTTTTGGGGGCCGCCTCCTATTTTTTGTTATTTGTTATTTTTTTTATTTTTTTTTTGAAATTTTTTTTTGATTTTTTTTTTTGATTTTTTTTTTTTTTGAAAGAAAAAAAACATGAAAAACACTGCTAAAATGGCTCTATTTCTGATTTTAAAAAAAAAAAATTGTCGGCGGCCATCTTGAAAAAAAATAGCCTCGACTGTCAGGGAAAATATACCGAGCGGCCATTTTGAGCGGCCATTTTGAAATATCAAATATCAAATAACATGGTACACCCTCCTCCTCTTTTTCAAAAAATACGGACGATCAACATGTAATCAATTTTACATGGCCATGCATGTATGTAGGCTAAACTTGCATTGCACTGTCTGTTCATCACATAGAATGTGTGTTTCCTTCAATTTTATTTTCTTGTTGGTTACATTTTTTTCCCTGCTCATTACACACATTCTATGCCAATACAATAATCATAAATAACTTTGCATTAACACTCATAACTAATAATCAGTAACCACCGAACAATAACCAAGATACAAAGTCAATGACATTTAACAACTTGGTAATTAACAGCACCAAATTTTTTTCCAACAAACTAAACATTAACATTTAGATTATATTCATAATCACCTCTGACACCACACCCCTCACTGTGGCACGTCTTTTCGCTGGACTCTTGTGAATCTCTCGGATGGACAGAAGTGCTGGGTGCCTATACTCTCTGACAGCATCTCTAGGAATTTCGAAGGGCGCTCCAGTCAAAAAAATCTACAACAAAACAATAAATATGTACACATTCATAAATATCTAAATTCCATTGATATCTAGACTAGTCTATCTAGATTTTCTAGACTACATTATTAAAAACAAAACAAATCGTCAATGGACTAACAATAATTGTAACTCAATTTTTAGTAAAAATAATTTGTTAATAGACCCTAGGCCTAGAATCTATAGCCTCTAAGTCTAATATTGATCTTTTACTTGTAGCTAGGAAACTAAATATTGTTCTGTCCAAATTTTACATTTCAATCTAAAAAAATATAGAAACTGTGGCATGCAATGCACATCGACTGCATAGGGATGTGTGCAATCTCTATAAGATGGATTTTAGCACACAAAACTCATTGCGCGATCAGACATCCTACTAGAGTAGAGCCAGAGCCGAAGTCTAGATCTAGACTACGTCTACGACTAGATCTACGTTAACTCACCTGGCTCTTAAGATTCACTGTGACCCTCAAATTCAATTCGTCGCAAATTCCATTGCGGATTCCGAAATGCTGATCGCAACTCATCGCCAGCACCTTCTCTACTTGTTTCGGGTCCCTGTTGCCCGGGTCATTGATGTACACATCGTATATGGCATTTCCTCCTCCCTTTATCACCACATTTCCTTTTAGAAACTCTCTCACTCCCTGGGCCTGGTCAGTACTTGTTCCCTGTGTCCTTCGTTGATGAAATGCTTCAACTAAAAACATATACATCATGCCTTTCTTTCCGCTTCCAAGAGTCCCAGCCATTATTAATTTATTTCTAGCTAAAATTGAGTGTAGAGTACTGTAGTAGTCTAGATCTACTGTAGACTAAAAGTGCCATGTGCGCGTACGTTCAGTTCGAAAACAACTCGACGCGTGTTTCACTTTTCACGTTTTCACGTTTTTCACTTTTTTTTAGTATCGCGGCAGATAATTGGTCCCTATTCTTACTCTCTCAAAGTTCTATCCAATCACTACCCCTGTACCTTGTAATCAAAATGAATATAGTCCTCGAATATCTATATAATGTACTCGTTCACTTAATGTTAATTTAAAAGTCTAAACAAAACATTGAAATGTATTTAAAAATACTTTAAAATGACCTAAAATACCATATTATCAATTGTTAAACACATGACGTCATCGTAATGGCCTCCGAACTCAAAATTTGAATTTACATATTATGACGTCAGCATATTTTTGGAAAATCGATTGTATCTCTGTAAATATTGATCGATTTTTTTCCAAATTTTGATATGGTTTAGCTGTGATAATTCTCTACAAATGTAGTAGCCACGATATTTCATTTTGACAAAGGAATCATGGCGTATTTTTGCGATTAAAGGAGGCATGTAAATTTTTTACATTTTGCGTGTATTCTCTATGGGACATGACTTTTTCTCAAAACTGGATTCAACATTCCTGTTTTTTGCGAGCAATATATCGACATTATTTCTGCTTGGATTATGTTGATTTTCGAGTATGTTGTAGCTGAGACTATATGTTATCTAAATCACCCCTCATTCTTCCAATACTTCCAAGATCACGCTCATGATCATCATCATTGTCATTATGATGATAATCATTCCATCAACATCATCATGATCATCATGATCATCATGATCATCATGATCACCATAATCATCATCATCGTCATCTTCATCACCATTATCATCATCATCATCATCATGACCATGATCATCATCATGATTATCATTATCGTCATCATGACAATCATGATCACGATCAAGTAGTTCATTTATCGATACTTTGTGTCATATTCATTAGAACTACTTATTTTGATATTTGTTTGCATTAAATTTGATCATGATTCATCATGTAGATAATTTCTCAATATTTCGTTCATCAGTTTAGTTCAGTTTATCAGTTCATCCTTTTAGCTCATCGATTCAGTTCATTTCACATCAATTCAATCTATCAATTCATCAGTACTTCATCCATCAATTCAAGACAGACCACCTAATTCGTCCCCATGACGAATTAAATTTCTAGTTTATTTTTATTTCTTCCCGTTTTTTGTTTATCGGTTAACTCAAGATCGGTTGTGTTAATTTCTTTCAATTTTGACACAGTTATAGATCATTGTCATGAGACGTGACAGGAACATTTTCAAGGTCATAAGGTCATCGTGACGTCATCCAGGCGCCATTTTGTGAAATCACGTTATCCATCATATCTTCATGATGCATAAGCAAAGGTCATTAATATTCATATCACATATACTTCAGGTCAAGGGTCAACAGGTCATGTCATCAAAGGTCACATAAAGGTCACGACGCGCACGTACGCGTGCGTCAAAATTTACAAATGCTCAAAATCACTTAACTATTAAAGGAGAGTACGAATCAGGTCATTTTAAGCATTTCAAAATTTTCCGTCCGTAAGTGTCCCCGCGCGCGTTGCGCGCGCTCATAGCGCGCGGAAAAGGTCAAATTCAAAATTTTTACATGATTTAGATTCCTCTTACCGTAAATGACAATTTACATTTTTTTCAGTCACCCTTGACCTTTCATAAGGCCGTGAGCGCGTGTCAAAGTTCAAAATCCGCGCGTGCTGCTATGGGCAATATAATGCAAATTTGATCAAAAACATGCCATTTTAAAAATCATAATAGCTCTTCAGATAGTCCATTGACCCCAACTTTTATATCATGGTTAGAAAAAGCATGAGTTGGAGATATGATTCCATGTCTCATTTGACCCTCAATTGACTCATGACGTCATCATAATGGCCTCCGAACTCAAAATTTCAATTTGCATATTATGACGTCATCATATTTTTGGAAAATTGATTGTATCTTTGTAAATATTGATTAATTTTCTTCCAAATTTTGATATGTTCTACCTGAGAATATTGTCTACAAATGCAGTCACCACGATATTTCATTTTGACAAGGGCATCATGGCGTATTTTCGCGATTAAAGGAGGCATGTCAATTTTTCACATTTTGCGTGTATTCTCTATGGGACATGACTTTTTCTCAAAACTGGATTCTACATGCTCGTCTTTCGGGAGCAATATCTCCGTCGTTTTATCTTTGTTTACGCTGAGCTTTGAGTATGTTGTAGCTGAGACAATAAGCTATCACAAGTGTGCCCTTTATTTTTCGATCAGATGCCGGGATCATGCTCATATCTCACTTGCAAAGAGGGATTTGAGAATTCCATTTTCCGTTTACGTGTATTCTCAAAGAAAATGTTTCGGTATATCGGTAACGCACTTGACTTCCGACCTCGAGGTCCCTGGTTCGAGTCCGGGCGTCTCCAACAATTTTTTTTCTTCATTTTTTTTTCTTTTTTGAATTTTCAATGATCATAAAATTGAAAACAGACCACCTAATTCGTCACCATGACGAATTCAATTTCTAGTTAGGTGGTCTGTCGTTTTCGACAGATCACCTATTGTTTTCGTCAGAATTTTCTTTCTTTATTTATTTATTTATTTATTTATTATTATTTATTTTTATTTCTTCCCGTTTTTTGTTTATCGGTTAACTCAAGATTGGTTGTGTTAATTTCTTTCAATTTTGACACAGTCATAGATCATTGTCATGAGACGTGACAGGAACATTTTCGAGGTCATCAGGTCATCGTGACGTCATCCAGGCGCCATTTTGTGAAATCACGTTATCCATCATATCTTCATGATGCATAAGCAAAGGTCATTCATATTCATATCACATATACGTCAGGTCAAGGGTCAACAGGTCATGTCATCAAAGGTCACATTAAGGTCATGACGCGCGCGTACGCGTGCGTCAAAATTTTAAAATGCTCAAAATCACTTAACTATTAAAGGAGAGTACGAATCAGGTCATTTTAAGCATTTCGAAATTTTCCGTCCGTACATGTCCCCGCGCGCGTTGCGCGCGCTCACAACGCGCGTTAAAGGTCAAATTCAATTTTGTTTACATGATTTAGCTTCCTCTTACTGTAAATGACAATTTACATTAATTTCAGTCACTCTTGACTTTTCATAAGGCCGTGAGCGCGCGTCAAAGTTCAAAATCTGCGCGTGCTGCTATGGGCAATATAATGCAAATTTGATCAAAAACATCCCATTTTAAAAATCAAAATAGCTCTTCAGATAGTCAATTGACCCCAACTTTTATATCATGGTCGGAAAAAGCATGAGTTGGAGATATGATTTCATGTGTCATTTGACCCTCAATTAACTCATGACGTCATCATAATGGCCACCGAACTCATAATTTCAATTTGCATATTATGACGTCAGAAGATTTTTGAAAAATTGATTGTATCTCTGTAAATATTGATCAATTTTCTTTCAAATTTTGATATGTTCTACCTGAGAATATTTTCTACAAATGCAGTTGCCACTATATTTCATTTTGACAAAGGCATCATGGCGTATTTTTGCGATTAAAGGAGGCATGTCAATTTTTCACATTTTGCGTGTATTCTCTATGGGACATGACTTTTTCTCAAAACTTGATTCTACATTCTCGTCTTTCGGGAGTAATATCTCCGTCGTTTTATATTTGTTTACGCTGAGCTTTGAGTATGTTGTAGCTGAGACAATAAGCTATCACAAGTGTGCCCTTTATTTTTCGATCAGATGCCGGGATCATGCTCATATTTCACTTACAAAGTGGGATTTGAGAATTCCATTTTCCGTTTACGTGTAATCTCTATGGGAAATGTTTTGGTATATCGGTAACGCACTTGACTTGACCTAGTTCGAGTCCGGGCGTCTCCAACAAATTTTTTTATTCACTTTTTTTTTCTTTTTGACCTTTCACTGTACCATCTCCTTTGAATATTAAAACACGTAGTGTCGTATCTTATATGTCCATAAATACGAAAGTAATACTGCTAGAAGTATACGCCACTATGCTCGTTGCTAAGCTTACTTTATTCTGCCGGAGAGGGCAGTATTTCACTGTTTCATACAGACAAGTTTCTGATGGATATACGTTAGCAAATATCACATTACTACACCTCTCCCTTCTTTGAGATAGAGTTTCCTATAATGTTGGAGAAGGTGCATTAAGCCTGTTGAATACATACAGTATCGGCTGAATCGGTTTGGATCAAATCTAACAACCAAAATATATATGAGTGATTTGGCTATTTTTTTCTGAGAGTTGTTAGCACTTGTATTTGTGTAAAATCCTATACGTACGAGGTTAGTTATAGGCCTATTTCAGATCAACTGAATGCAAACACAACAATAAAAGGACTGCTGTCTTAAACCTGACATTACAAAATCCTTGTCGAAATCATGAACTGCAAAATACTAGACAAAGTCAAATAGAACTTTCATAACACTTACAACCTTGAAAACACCTTATTGAGGTCTGCTATAACACCAAACTGAAACAATAGAGTATTGTGCAACAGTTGGCATTTCAACATCATTTGCAACAAAGTTGTGCATATATGTGTACTTGCACAGCATGACAATAAAATAAATGTTATTAACCAAAATAAATAATTTCTGTTCTTGTACTTTTTCTTTTGGAAACTAATGATGCAAAGAACAGTCCAAGTTAAAAATACATTGTACCACACAATATACAACAATAATGCTTCTGAACGAAATTACTAATAAACACATCATGCTTGTACTTTCAGTGTACAGTAATTTGACATACATACATGTACGTACATTTAAATCATTTTTTGTTTGTTTGTTTACAATATGTTTTGTTCGTGAAATATTAATCCTCTTTCCATCCTTCCTCTCTCCCTTTTCAATGAACAATAATGACAAACATATCAAAATAATCATCATCACTCGAACAGTATCTCTATATAAAAAAATAGACTGTTGCATTATTGAACTCACAACTGAAAATTGCTTGAAAAAAAGAATTTAGGAAAAAAACATTCCGTATCAATCAGTGTGATGGAGTGGAACTGGTAGATGCGAAGCAGTATGAAAAGATTACCGGTAAAGAC